TGCATATAATTAATTTTAATTAACTAAATAAAGATTGTGTTCTTTGGGGATCCTTTAAGTTGGGCCGTTGCATGTTGATCATGTCATCATGACAGGGTGTTCACGTGAGCAGCCATCTGAGGAAGAAATTTCATGTTCAGTGTAAAATAAAAAGAACATGCTCATAGAGAAGTGAATGTTCTTCGAAAATACAAACTTACATCTACTTGTGAACAGACACAAGTTTAAACAAGAGGCCCACGGGCCTTATAGGTCATCTGAGTATCATGCAACATTCTAGGAACTGAATTTGGTTCGTGTTTTAATCCAAAAGCTATGAAATTCACAATTTTAAAAGAGGCACCACTGCTTACCAAAGAGCAGATTTCAAAGCATTAATTTATTTTTTAGACAAAGTACCCCCCCCCCCCGGGTACCCCTGAGCCAGGGGCCCTGAAATTATCCATTTTGATAAAGGTACCTTTCTTCATCATGAGGCCAGCATTTTTCTTATTTATAAATTTACTTACGAACATCAGAATGAAAAAGTCGCGGAGGAGGAGGAAATAAAAAGATTTTTTTTTGGATAAATTAATTATTGACATTTGTACATTCATCTTTGCTTCTTTTTATATGCTATATAAAACAAGCTCCTTGCCACTGGACACATAATGTTTACAAATAGGAACATTTAATTGTTTATTTCATCATATGCCAGTTTGGGCCAGTGATATAAACTTTGTGATGTTGATCAAAATATATTTTTAAATTTAATTCTTTACAACTCTTTCAATACATCTTCATATATTAATATGTGTTAGGTGAATGTGTAGACATTGTTCTTAAATATACCTGATGCCTAAAAATTATAATTCCTTTCAAAAAAATAGACAGGGAATATATTGGGGAATAGGGTAAACATTTTTTCAATTAAGTGTAAAGTAATTTTTCTGGCTGTTACAAACGATATAACTGCTTTTTAATAGCTGGTTTTTATTTATTTCTTTAGGCTATTTTTTATTTCTTCCTCAAATGAACTTAACTTCTCCCATAGTTTTATTCATTACATCTGATGCATAAGCAACCCTTTTCTGAAGAATGGTGCTTAGACCTGTAAGCTAAAACAGAGATCTAAACAATGTCGCTGGCAATAGCTACCACGGGCAGTTTTAAACCTGTGGGAGGAAAATAATTTACAGACAGATACTTTTGAGTACGAATAGATATTTATCTCACCAGCATGTCATTGTGCAACAAAGTCGTCAGCATTTTATTTGTCCTCTGAACGGGTGAAACGTTTTGAATGGCACTCCTATCGATAAATTTTTATACCAAACCAAGCTATGGTGCTGCTATGAACTTTGCAGATCTATTTACCCGCCATGTTCAACTTAAAACCGGAAGTACGAGTTCGTAAATTTGAAATCTCGATCCCGACTCAAATTTGACATGGGAAAGAAAGAAATGTTTTATTTTTTTTTCCTGAAAATTCATAAGCTTTGGTGGCGGGTTTGTAAACCTAAAAATAAAGAAATACTGGCCTTAATTATGTAATTAGATCATTGGCATATTCTCCAGGAGCAAAGGAAAATATGTTCAAAGAATTCATGCATTTCACTGTATAATCATTAGAGCCCCACCCTAACACCAGAAACCCTGACCCAGGGGCCCTGAAATTCACAAATTGGCAAGAGGCATCCTTATTCAACATAACTATGTACATGGTTAGTTTATTTAATGCCCAGGAGTAGAGAAGACGATTTTTAAAGAATTAATGCATTTTCACTATATAATCATTAGAGCCCCTACCCTAGCACCTCAGAACCCCTGACCCCAGGGACATGAAATTCACAATTTTGGTAGAGGCAGCCTTATTCAACATAACTATATACTTTAGTTTATTTAATGCCCAGGAGCAGAGAAGAAGATTTTCAAAGAAAGAAAGCAATTTCACTAAATATTTTATTTAGCCCCGCCCTAGTACTAGAGCCTTGACCCCAGGACCATGAATTTTACAATTTTAGTAGAGGACTCAAAGCTGATTATAATCATGCAAACAGTTTAACTACTTGATGTCCAAGAGTAAAGAAGAATATATTTAAAGATTACATTAATTTTCGTGGTTTTGGCCCCATCCCTCAGGCCCCAGGGGGGCAGGGACCATGAAATACACACTTTTTTCCCCTTTACCCATAGATGATTTGTGCCAAATTTGGTTGAAATTGGTTCAGAGGTTTCAGAGAAGAAGCCGAAAATGTTCAAATGTTAACACACGACACCGGACGAAAACAGATAGCAATAGGTCACTTGAGTGACCTAAGAGTAGAGAGTGACCTAAAAAATAGGTCTAAATGGAAAGAAGTCGACATAGAAGGCTTGCGAATATACAACGACCAAGCTTCTGTACCACTTTACTTACATTGCACGAAGAAAACAGGTTGCGTAAAGGGGACAAATAAACCGAATGACAACTTCACCAGACTATTCACAAACTCTTTGTGTCGCCTCTGGGGCAGAGAGGCACCAAGGGATCAATTTTCCCGGCGTCTGTCTGTCTGTCTGTCCGTGTGTCACACCTTGTATCTCAAGAACTGTAAGAGATATGGACATGATAATTTGCACATTTATTGGCTGGCACTATGGCATTTGTAAATTGCCATGATTACCAACCTCATGACCCTTGTCCTTTGACCTACTTAAAATGCTTATATACACTATATTGTTGATACATAAGGGGTAGTTCTATACTATTTAGCATGTGCAGATTTTCATAAAACCTGATGAAAAAATACAAGCGTTACAATTCACTTGACCTTGACTAGTAACCTACTTTACAGAGAAAACCCCGGACAATTTCATTGAACTAAAGACTTTTTAATTTTGAATATCATAAAGGCATCTATATCATATAAATGCCTTTTTCTTAATGTGAGGAAAATTTTTGCAGTCGGGTTCGGTATACTCATCCTTTTTTATATGCACTTCAAACGGAAAGGTAGCATTCATTTTTACTCTTAAAAATTTCAAAAAAATAATCACAATCCTGATTTAATTTTTTTTTTTTAATTGTGACATTTTTCAGGGTTAATAACGAAACACACAACATTTTTGGATCATAATAAGAAAACTTAATAAAAATGTTATTTATAGTGTTGTTACGGTAAGTCAAAGATCGAAAAATGGATGAAAGATAGTGTTAATGGAAGAAAAGTACGTAAAAGCTTTCAACTGGGTTCTGAAAGAGTTGATGGAACTTATGGAAGTGGTGAAGAAAGAATCTAGACCTTCCTACATGTAAGCAGAACAGATGAATATTTTATCAAGAATCTTGTGTTGGAAATATTTACCGAAGAAATAAAAACATACCGGTATCCTGAGGAAGCTATTAAAAAAATCAATGCATGGAATATTGTTGAAAAGACGAGAGGCATTTACAATGGAGCCAACAAATTTAAGAGTTAAAACTATAATGCTACTTCAAAAAGTCAAATATGGATGTAAATATGAGCTCGGAAAACGCAATGAATTGCGACAGTTCATTCTGTTAAAAAAAAGGAAGGTAATTACGCTGATTTGAATCACACTGAAAAAGAAGCTTTGAAAATTCATCATATACATGTATTATAGTTTGAGCAAAAAGTCTATTGTAGTATTTGTATAATTTGCTTTAAAGTGTGAAAAATTGGCACTTTCCTATATAATCCTATAGTAAATGTGCCTGTAATTTGAGACGGTCCCTTAGATTTCCCCCAAACTTGGCATGCACACTGAAGTCAATGCAAGTTATATATGGTATGAAAATAGAGTTTTTCTACTGTAGTTTTCACACAATAAAACCCCAGCGAGTGTAATTTTTAGGTCACCTGAGTAACTCAGGTGACCTATTCTATCCGTTTTTGTCCACCGTCGTCCATCGTGTGTTAACATTTGAACATTTTCAGCTTCTTCTCTGAAACCATTGAACCAATTTCAGTCAAATTTGGTATACAGCATCTATGGGTGGAGGGGAACAAAAATTGTGAATTTCATGGTCCCCGCCCCCCTGGGGCCTGAGGGGTGGGGCCAAAACCACTAAAATTAATGAAATCTTTAAAAATCTTCTTCTTTACTCCTGGACATCAAGCAGGCAAACTATTGGCATGAATGTAATGAGCAGTGACTCCTCTACCAAAATTATGAAATTCATGGCCCCAGGGTCAGGGGTTCTAGGCTAGGGCGGGGCTCTATAGATTATATAGTGAAAATGCATTATTTCTTTGAAAATCTTCTCTGCTCCTAGGTATTAAATACACTAACTAAGCATATAGTTATGATGAGCAAGAGTGCCTCTTCCAGATTTGTGAATTTCATGGCCCCAGGGTCAGGGGTTCTGGTGTTAGGGCGGGGCTCTATAGATTATATCGTGAAAATGCATTATTTCTTTGAAAATCTTCTTCTCTGCTCCTGGGTATTAAATACACTAACTAAGCACATAGTTATGATGAGCAAGAGTGCCTCTTTCAGATTTGTGAATTTTATGGCCCCAGGGTCAGGGGTTCTGGTGTTAGGGCGGGGCTCTATACATAATATAGTGAAAATGCATTATTTCTTTGAAAATCTTCTTCTCTGCTCCTGGGTATTAAATACACTAAATAAGCACATAGTTATGATGAGCAAGAGTGCCTCTTCCAAAATTGTGAGTTTTATGGCCCCAGGGTCAGGGGTTCTGGTGTTAGGGCGGGGCTCAATAGATTATATAGTGAAAATGCATTATTTCTTTGAAAATCTTCTTCTCTGCTCCTGGGTATTAGATAAACTAACTAAGCACATAGTTATGATGAGCAAGAGTGCCTCTTCCAGATTTGTGAATTTTATGGCCCCAGGGTCAGGGGTTCTGGTGTTAGGGCGGGGCTCTATACATAATATAGTGAAAATGCATTATTTCTTTGAAAATCTTCTTCTCTGCTCCTGGGTATAGTCCGATTCCGCAATGGTTATTTTGCGTAAAAAACCGTTTTCGAGTTTGTTATTTATAATGCGCATGACGCTTCCGGGGAGTTCACGCTTTAGTGCACTGTAGGAAAACACAGGTAAGATCAACGCTATTTATAGATAATAATGACATGGGACGTTTAAATATTATCGACCTACGTCGAGGCAGAGGGTTTCATACCTTGCCGACCTGATATTTTCGGGATTTATAAATCATTGTTTAGTTTAAGAAAAGTATTGTATGTACATCACTACATGTGTATTCATCATATTATAATTTTTTTCAGCATGGGTAAAAAGTATTGCTGCATTTCACTCTGTCACAACACGTCAAATACCGTCCAACAGGACGGTACTAAAGTAATTCTGCACAGATTCCCAATGTCACATAAAAAATTGCACATCAGACGTCAGTGGGTAATGAAAGTGAAAACTGTCAGGGCCAATTTTACCTTAAATGATAGTTCCAGAATTTGCAGTGCCCATTTTGAAACCCCTTTCACGGGTGAATCAATTCCAACCATTTTTCCATCAAAACCAACAAAAGAAGTGAAAGAAAGAAGACCACTGACAAGGCACACCAATTCTACTAGCAACATTACTAATTCAGAGATTGGTTCCAGTGACAGTCCTTATCCTGATGAAAAAGGTACATCAGTTGACTGCAATGAAAATGAACTTGTTAAAGAAAATACCTTTGAACACAATATTTTAGCTGAAACAACAAACAAAGCACATAAAAGTACCAGTACAAGTCCCTACAACATAACATTGGATGTGGGAGTACAAGCAGGTCACTCGTTCTGCTCAACCAATGATGCTGCTGTTCAGTGTGATTTGCCTCGAATGGTTTATGAGGACATCAGGGACAGTGATGAAAAAGTTCGCTTTTATACAGGCTTCCCTACATTCCAAGTTTTATGGCTCTTCTTTTTAACCCTTCTGAAACATGGGGCAGATAAACTAAACTACTGGGAAGGGGAAAGACGCTCAATGGGGGACAAAAATTATCATCAAGATGGCCATCAAAAACCAGGGAAAAAAAGATTTCTACGGCCCATAGATGAATTCCTACTAACATGCATGAGACTCCGACTCGGACTGAATCAAGAACTTTTAGCCGATATTTTTAGAACTTCAAAAACTAGTGTATCAAGAATATTCAATACATGGGTGAACTTTATATATGATCATACCAGAGGTTTAATTGCATGGCCTACAAGGGAGCAGATACTTGCTAATTTACCTAGACACTTTAATGATCACTCAGATACTCGTCTAGTAGTTGATTGCACTGAATTTTTTGTGGAAAGGCCATCATCTCTTGTAGCTCAGTGGTTAACTTGGTCCGAGTATAAGCATCATAATACGTTCAAAATACTTGTAGGGGTAACACCTAATGGGATGGTATCATTTCTATCTAGGTTATGGGGAGGGAATGCATCAGATAGGCACATAGTTCAAAATGATGACTTAATACCTAAATTGTCCCCGGGTGATGTTATAATGGCAGACAAGGGCTTTACCATAGAAGATTTACTGCCTGCAGATATTGGTTTGAATGTTCCTCCTCGGGTGTCAACTAAAAGTCAAATGTCTTCATCAGAGTTTTTTAAAACTGCTCATATTGCCTCAGCTAGAATAGTAGTAGAGATGAAAATGGAGCAAATTAAGAATTTTCAAATTCTAAATTCTGTATTACCACTCTCAGAGGCACATCTGTCAGAACAAATAATTGTTATATGTGTGTCGTTAACTAACTTGCTACCACCTCTTCTACAGTAAAAATAAATTTAATATGCAGTTACTGTTCCATACTTGTACAGAATATTTTTGCCTATGATACATTCAATACAGCAGTTGTGAAAAGTTTTTTATTTACTAGGTAAATTCAATATGAGGCTTTAGGATTATTTGTTATACATCATGAGCTTATATATCATCTTTATTTATATTATAATATGTGTAAATTGAGCTAAAGAAATTAAAGTTCAACTGTCCAACATATAAATGTTTAAATATGCAACATTGTTCAACATTGCATCACAAAACTTCTATTCATTATATCAGTTTAGTTCAAAATTATCTTAAAATTGGTGTAAATTTGTAATCAAGTGTAAATCTGTTCATTTCTGTTCAACATATGGAGAGCTCTGCTGTGTTCTGTACAAGTTTAGAATTCGAGTAATAAAGATGACAAAATGTTGTTTTTTTGTTTTAATTTAACATATATCCAACTTCATGCAATCAATATAAAGAAATACCACGTTTAACTCTACTGGTAAACAGTTCTGGTACAATTCCACTAAGATAGAATGCTTTCAATTTTGGTAACATATATTTCCAAATTTCAGGTGAAAAAGTTATTCTTTGAACACTAATTCCTCTCTTTGTCCATACAACAAAGTCAACCCATTCAAGTTCATAAATAGCTAATTGTCCTTGTATTTGATACATGTAATTATGTTTTTCTTTCAGAAACAGTTTTTCATTGCTTTCTGTACAAAAAAATTTTTCATCCTTGCCACATTCTGTAGGTTTCATATGCCTCCATGGATTTTCACTTTTTAACGACCCGTATGGACATTTAACTTCAAGTAACCCAGTCCCACAATCATTACAAATGACAAGGCCATCAATACTTGCACCTATATAAGGATATTTTGGATTAACAAGCAGACCTCTTGATTCAATCTGAACTTTCTTGCACTTTTCCATATGATTCTGAACATAATGTTCCACAGCCACAGGTTCATATTTACGACCATACTTTAAGCTTTTTACAGTATCTGGAATGCTTACATACCCTCGGATTTTTTTAACAAGATTGTCAGGCCTGGTAGTTAAACGTTTCACAACCTCACCCATAACTGAGGCTGTAACGAGACAACTTCTTGCCTCTCTCCAGTTTTGGTTGATATGTTGACCCCTTGTTCCTTTTTCCAAATTCAAACTTACTTCATCAGTAACCATTAAATTTGAAAGAAAATTATTAAAAGTATCTATACAGTTCTTGGAATTTAAGTCCACATGATCTGCGTACATGAAATTTGGAATGAAAAGATTTAGAAAAGAACTTATATCTGCTGGTTTTGCAGTAAGAGTTTGATAAATCACACTTTGGGGATATAGATCTTTCAAACCATTTAAAATCTCGGTTTAAAAAGATTTCACTGTCATCTTGGCATGGTCCAGCTTGGTAAACACCAGGATAAGGCTTCACTTTTTCCACCGGGTTTTCTTTATCAGTTTTATAAAAGCTGATATCACATACTCGCTTTGGACTAGGTTTCCTCAACAGCGGTCTGGGCCGATCCCATCTGCATTCATTACTTGTGCATGCCCTTTTAGTTTTTACTAATGTGTGCAATAAGGCACCAATATGCGCACAAAGTCCTGCTGCTCCTGCTTTACAATTACACTCAGCCTGAAGAATATGCCCTGATGTTTTCACAGTACAAATATGTAATGAATAAAAATTTGCAGTTTTACCAAAGTTTCCAATAATAACATTTTGTCTCATTGAAGGCATACAGTTGCATCTAATATAACAATATTTACATTCTTTGTTTACTTCATTAAATTCAATGTCCTTGACGAATCCTTCATTACTCAATTTCTTTGCCTTCTTCATTTGACGTTCAAAATTTGTTGTTCCTCCGGTTGGATTTTTATGGTATAAAAAGTAGGCATCAATATCTTTGATTGAAATATCAGGAATGTCTTCACTTTCAATAGATTTCCAGTCTTTGGACAATGTTTGCACTGGAACAATAGATTCATCACTCTTTGAAGGAAAATCATTGGTATCGCTAGCTTCATCCGAGTCTATACCATTACTCATTGCCCTGTAGACTCTGTTTATAAGAACATCTTTGTTTCCAGACCTCTTCAGTCCTCTTTGTGATAACCATTCCTTCAGTTCTGCCACTCTTAATGACTTCAACTCATCCAATGAGAGATGCTTATCTGCATCATGGTACTCACTCTCTACGTCTGATTCTGAATCAGATGACATGACTAAAAAAAAAAAAACACACATTGAATTAACATGGTTTTTCTTCATTTTCAACCCTGTATCTTCTGACAGAGTTCAATCAGGAAATTGAAACAAATAACATTTTTTTGTGTATTTATTTACCATCTATATGTTTTTGAGAAATTTTTTCCAGGTTTACACAGTGTTATCTACTTTGTATTTACTACATTTAGACTAATTTAAGGACAGGAAAACACTTTTTACAAGTTTTCTGGTTTCATAAATTTTCACAATTGAATGACTAATCAGTTAATCAATTATATATTTGATGATTTTATATAACTTCTACGCATAAAATAAACAACTTGGAATTAACATTTCTTATGCAAACTGCGTTAAAACATGTAACCAGAATCCTTTCTTTTCAGCATCGACCCCCCCCCCCCATTCGTCGTTTCAAACAAACGAAGCTTCTTTTGATCAACACCATATGAAATGCTTAAATACACTTTTATTTAAAGGAAAATAGGAAAAACTCACCTGTATTTCAAGCCAGTGAGCCGCTTTGTTAATTTGCACCTGATAAACACATGGCTACATAGAAATTGGAACTCCCCGGAAGTAAATATTGCGTCAAAAGTAACATCTAAACTGTCGACGGAAATTTTTACGGAATAGGTATTGCGGAATCGGGCTATTAAATACACTAAATAAGCACATAGTTATGATGAGCAAGAGTGCCTCTTCCAAAGTAATGAATTTTATGGCCCCAGGGTCAGGGGTTCTGGTGTTAGGGCGGGGCTCTATAGATTATATAGTGAAAATGCATTATTTCTTTGAAAATCTTCTTCTCTGCTCCTGGGTATTAGATAAACTAAATAAGCACATAGTAATGATGAGCAAGAGTGCCTCTTCCAAAATTGTGAATTTTATGGCCCCAGGGTCAGGGGTTCTGGTGTTAAGTCGGGGCTCTATTGATTATATAGTAAAAATACATTTATTCTTTGTAAATATTTTTCTTTGCTTCTGGGTTTTAAGCCAATGATCCAAGTATATATATATTTATGATGAAGAAAGGTGCATCTAGCAAAGTGGTTTTTAATGCCCCCAGGGTCAAAGGGGGGGGGGGTCGTTACATAGCCTGAAAATAAATTAAAGCTTTGAAATCTGCTCTTTGGTATTAATCAACCATTTTATGATAAAATTTGCAAAATTTTGAAATATATGGCCCTGGGTCAGTGGTTCCTTTGGGGTGACGTACACAACTGGTTATAAAGTGGAAGTGCATTTTCTCTTTGTTACTCTGATCTACCTCTGGGTATTAAGTAAATAGAGTAAGCATGCTAAGTTAATAATTATGATAAGCAATGGTGCCTCTTTCAAAATTGTAAATTGTGAATTTCATGGCCTCAAGTTTAAACACGAACCAAATTTAATTGTTTGAAAGTTGTTACACAATACTCAGGTGACCTAGAAGGCCCGTGGGCCTCTTGTTGTAATTTGCCTCGCGTTGCTCTGTGAGACGTTGTATAGTTACCACATATTCCAAACAGCTTGTCTGATGAAGGGAATAAGATTTTTCTCTGTTTGATAATTGATCATCATTTTTCCATCATTCCACCATTCGACACTTTTAAGGATATTCATCATGTATGCTCATGAATCTATTCAGAAAATGTATGTTTTATATTGTAGCCAAAAAGGATTTTATATTGTAGCCAAAAGAGTTGAAACTCGCTGCAGGGACCAAAGTGGAAAGACCGTCCTGTCTACAGGATAAAAAAAAGTTTTTCGAATTCTTCCCCACAGCAAGAAAAACTTGATGTCACGCAGCTGAAGGACCAAGTCCATGTTGTGGACTCTAAAAAGTGCAGCCTGTGTTGAGGGAGAATTCATTGGCCTTTCGGACTAGGTGAATTGGATGTGATGGGTAGGATTACAGAAAATTTGTAATTACTGGTACCATTACCCTAGATTAGAGCAAAAATATCGCACGCTCTTTCCAGACTGCAGTGGTTCTGTCCAGCCATCTAAAGATCCCATCAGGCCCTGGCTTTGAAGTAAAAACTCACACTTCTTGTTTTTCTTGTTAACTACTTGTTATTGTTTTTCTTTACTGAAATATATAAGCATTTTATCTTTCTTATAATGAGTGAGTGATTGTATGTTGATTTACTTCCCTTTCGAAAAATTTTCACGCATAATTATGGATACGCCAACACTTGCTGGTGTAGTCCGAAAAATTGCTGGTGGAGAGCTGCAAATATCGTCCTATAATCGGCACTTAAGGCCAGTGAGCAAGGAGGGATCTTTTTCGTCCCAGCACCTACTGCGACACGGGACTCGGTTTTTACTGTCTTATCCGAAGGACCGGTCCTCACGACCCACAGTGGGAATTGAAGGATCAACTCCTTACTTCGCGACTCTAGAGCAGACACTCTGAGCACTGCGCAACGCGGGCGACAGCTTTATTTGAAGTTTGTAGGTCACCTGAGTCACTTAAGTGACCTATTGCTATCCGTTGTCGTCCGTTGTCGTCCGCCGTGTGTTAACATTTGAACATTTTCAGTTTCTCTGAATTCGAAACCACTGAACCAATTTCAACCAAATTTTGTATACAGCATCTATGGGTGATAGGGAACAAAAATTGTGTATTTCATGGTCCCCTGTCCCTCAGTGGCCTGAGGGGTGGGGCCAACACCACGAAAATTAATGAAATCTTTAAAAATCTTTTTTACTCCTGGACACCAAGCAGGCAAACTGTTAGCATGAATGTAATGAGCATTGAGTCCTCTACCGAAATTGTGAAATTCATGCCCCCAGGAACTAGTGCTAGGACGGGGCCATATAGATTATATAGTGAAAATGCATGATTTGTTTGAAACCTTCTTCTCTGCTCCTGGGTATAAAATAAACTAAGTACATAGTTAGGATAAGCAAGAGTGCCTCTTCCAAAATTGTGAATTTTATGGCCCCAGGGTCAGGGGTTCTGGTGTTAGGGCGGGACTCTATTTATCATATAGTGAAAATGCATTAATTCTTTAAAAATCTTCGTCTCTACTCCTGGGTTTTAAATAAACTAACTACCAATTTGCAGAATACGTTTATCAGCACACGTTATTATTCTTTATTTGCTTAACACATACGTATTGTTACATGCAAGTATGCAGCGTAATATGGAAAAAAAAACCAGATTGGTTTGGTATGGCTCTTCTATACATTAGGAAACAGCGCCTAGTTTACATAATGAATTCACTTGGTATGGCGCGTCTATACATGAAATATAATAAACTTTGTGACATATAATAAATACAAATATAGATAGGAAAAACGAAGAATGAATCACATCTTTTCATTTCTTAACTTAAAAGCTAAATTCAAAAATTTCCCGAAATTACAAAGTTCAGAAAAGTTTTGTACACTCAATAATTGAACTAGTTTGAATGCAGATGTTTTTTTCCAGTAATAACTTTTAATATATTTACTTCTCAGGTCGTTGTATAGGGGACAAATTAAAACAAAATGAAATTCGTCTTCTATGATGGTTTTACAAAATTCACAAAATCTAAATTCCTTCACAATATTTCTATGCCTGCCAGTTTCAATTGCCAAGTAAATTATGGGAAGACATTCTTATTCTACTTATTTCTTTTTTTTTTATAAAGAGTAGGTATTGACTTTCTTAAATAATATTGCAAGGCTAAATAAACTACAATGTGTCTGTAAAAAATACATTTTGTAGAACAATTAATTCCTGCCATGAGATTTTGTATGAAATTATCTGTTATTCTTTGTTTAATTATAGGAAATTGTTTATAAATCCTTTCTTTGTCTTGTTCAAGCCAGATAAATCCGAGTCCATTCTCATGAAGTTTTTGTTTGATATTTACAACCTAATTATCAGAGTGTCTGCCGGTATGTTAACATTCATTGATTGATTGTATACTGTTTTACGTCCCTCTCCAGAATATTTCACTGATATGGAGACGTCACTATTGCCGGTGAAGGGCTGCAAATGAGGCCTATGCTCGACACTTACGGCCTTTGAGCAGGGAGTGATCTTTATCGTGCCACACCTGCTGTGACACGGGACCTCGGTTTATACGGTCTCATCGGAAGGACCGCCCCATTTAGTCGCCTTTTACGACAAGCAAGGGGGTACTGAGGACCTATTCTAACCCGGATCCCCACGGGGCTTAGCATTCATTGTATAAATATTTATAACACATTTACAAGATACAATTGTCAGTTTTTAAAAGCTTGAACCAAAATTTAATGAAAGAAAAAGTGAGCTAGCTCACATACCCCACGCTCCCCCATAACTTGATGGTGAAACACATAATGAAAGGCACAGTGCACTTTAAATACATAGTATAGATCAAAAAGGGCAATAATTGCAAAAAATCTTCACATCAAAATGTCTTGCATATGAGGACATTTAAATGTGGAATGAAGTTTCTAGATAAATAATGGAATCAAAATTTCTTGGCAATATACAAATCCACACATTAATTTGAAGTGGTGGGGGGGGGGGGAAATTTTCTTGAATAATAGGCAAAACTCTTTGGGATAAAATAATGGAATATGTCCTAAATATCTGCATAGGTTGACGAAACTATGTACAACAGTTTAAGAGGAGTGGTGCAGACATACTGTTCATCTCTATATTCAAAATATGGCCAAAAAGTCTAAGTTGGAAAGTGTGGAAATTCCCGGAAAAATAAAGGAATCGGAATTTCCTGGTAATATGCACATCTACATATTGTGTCCTAAATATCTGCAAAGTTTAACGAAATTCTGTGCAGTGGTTTATGAGGAGTTGCACTGACAAACTGTTCATCTCTATATAAAAGGTATGGCAAAAACCTAAGTTTTTAGTGCGGAAATTCCTGGAAGAAATAAAGGAATCGGAATTTCCTGGTAATATGCACATCTACATATTGTGTCCTTAATATCTGCAAAGTTTGACGAAATTCTGTGCAGCGGTTTATGAGGAGTTGCGCTGACAAACTGTTCATCTCTATGTAAAAGGTATGGCCAAAACTCGAAGTTTTTAGTGCGGAAAGTCCCGGAAAAAATAAAGGAATCGGAATTTCCTGGCAATCTGCACATCTACACATTGTGTTCTAAATACCTGCAAAGTTTGACGAAATTCTTTGCAGCGGTTTATGAGGAGTTGCGCTGACAAACTGTTCATTTCTATATTCAAGGTATGGCCAAATGCCTAAGTTAAAAAGTGCGGAAATTCCCGGAAAAAATAATGGAATCGGAATTTCCTGGTAATATGCACATCTACACATTGTGTCCTAAATACCTGCAAAGTTTGACGAAATTCTGTGCAGCGGTTTATGAGGAGTTGCGCTGACAAAAAAAGAGGACTGACTGACTGACTGACTGACGGACTGACTGACTGACGGACCGGTCAAAAACATTATACCTCACGCAACTAGTTGCGTGGTGTATAAAAATACGAACAATTTTCATTTGCAGTCTACCAGTTTCAACAAAAATCATGGCAGTATTTGTACTCCTTCTAACACCTAAAACATATTTATAGTGTTGGCAAATCGGACGATTTTTAGTAACCGGTTACTCGCTTAATCTTTCGATCGAGTACCCAGTTACTCGGATGATTTATTCATTTTTATATTTATCATTTATCTCATCCTTTTCTTACCGATAGAAATAAAACACAAACATATTGTGAATGCTTAAAGGTGCCCATGCACGCACTATCTTGAATGAATTTTGATACTGTATTTGTAATTGAAAAATTAATTAAATCAGACACGCTATTTTACAATTGCATTCATCACCTTTTACTTTTCGACTCCCGATGTATTATGTCATGATCAAGCAGAATAATTATTTAGAAATTTGAAGTCACAACCGTACACAATAACTCCAATTCACATAAATTACATTTTACAGGTATCGAATCAGCTGTTCTTTTAAATACTTTCAAGTTACTAGTATATATGTCTTTGGCGACATCTTGTAAAATTTTTAATGAGGTAATTAAACCCGGGTCTTCAAAACTTGTATAACCTGCTGGCAATCAAAGCTACCAATTAACTGTGAAAACTAATCAAAACGAATCGGTCGTATTAGTTAAACACTAGTTCATTAAATCTAACGGTAAATAGAATTAGAGAAATGCTTATGTATATGCTTATAAACAAATTAACATTTTATTTTTTTAGTTATTTACTTTTTAAGATGTATTTTTACCCGAGTAACCGAATAGCAGTTTTACTAACCGATACTCGCATCGTTCGACGGTTAACCGGTTAACCGGGTACTCGTTGCCAACACTACGATATTCAATAAAGTCCAAGTGCACTTTTTCAATATCACTAGCATTGTGTCTACCCCATATTTCACAACCATAATTCATATTGCTTGCATCATAAGTATCAAAAAGTGAAAACATTGTCTCTGTATTTAGACACATTTGGTTGATTTTTGATTTCATTAAAAACATTGCTTCTCTACCCTAGGATGCCAGCTGTTTTTGTGTATTATTAAATTTTCCATTATACAGGTAATTCAAAAGTACACCGAGGTACATAAATTGGTCAACAACTTCAATTGATTCACCATTTAAATGCCATTTTTCTTCCTTACGTATTTTACCTCCGTTTCTAAAAATAACAATTTTTGTTTTTGATATATTAACAGACAGATTCCATTTCGTAGAATAATCATATAACGTATTTAGCATTCTTTCAAGCTCATCTATCGATTCTGCAAAAATAACTATATCATCTGCATACATTAAACCAAATAAATTTAATTCTTGTGAATCAACCGGTACATTTTCTTGTTTTAAAAACTCTTAATTCAAAATCGTTTACATATAAAGAGAATAAAATAGGAGACAGAACCTCTCCCTGCAAAAGGCCGTTATTGTTCTTAAGGACACACGAGACCTTCCTCAATTACAGATAAATTTCCATAAAACTTCATGCTTGATCTATTTGCATATAAACCTGTTTATGCCCAAAAAATTGGGGTATGTCACCAGGCTTTATATAGAGTTACAATAAATTGGATAATCCTTATTATAACATGCAAAAAAGTATTGAATGCTATTTATAAAGTCATAGTAGATATTTTCCATTGAAACTGTATATCCAGATGGAAAAGTATGATAAAAAATGAAATTTATTTTTTGAAAGCCATGTTTCCAGGCTATTGAATAAATTTTCTAATGATAGTTATTTTTTATCATTGTAACTGATTGAGTTATCTCCCTTTGATATGAAAAAGAAATGAGAAACAAATGCAGTGGAATAGAAAGTGTATTTACATCATCATGATATCACAGATAATTGTTCAAATTAGAAACATGTAGTCATTACATGTATATTCATATCACAATAGTCATTACATGTATATTCATATAAGAAGTGGTCCGTTACCTTTCATAAAATACTGATTTAATGACTTGATGATTTTACCATTGGATGTCACTCTGACCTTACCCATGTTTTTCTCTGACAAAATAGACTTTACACCATACTTCTTATTCACCTTTGACAACTTCCGGTTTTAAAACGAGGCTCTCAGCGCAAACAAATATGTCGGCGTATCATTGTTGTGTACCACTTTGCACGAATGATTCTCGTTATGACGAGAAGAACCTCTTGTCGTTCCACCGCTTTCCAAGTGACAACGAATTAAGAAAAGAATGGATCCTCAAAATTCGCCGTGATATAGGGCGAAATTTCCAGGTAAAGCATTCATTTGCATCTGTACTATTGTAGGCCTACATCAGTACACTGTACTTGTCGATCATTTATGTTGGATATTGCATATAAACAAACATGACAACCACGAACGAGTTTATTTTTAGTTGAAGAAATATGGACTATTATAATTTATTTATATACGATGCGGCAAATGTATTAATAGTTTATTATTTAAATAAAATCTACATGTATATTCTGATCATGTTTACACGCCTACTGCACATGCATTGCAGAGTTACAAAACTTACAATACAATGTAAATGCACATGACCACGATACGGCGAAATTAAAGACAAATACATCATGAAGATAACAGTGGTCAGATATAGACAGGTAGAGCACAATACCCCTATAAAGGTATCAAAGGTATTTAAAATACCTTGATCAAGGTATTTTATGTAATGAAAATTCAAAAAAATTCTTTAACAATTAATTACTGAAAGTTGAGTTCTGAGTTGTTGTCAGTGTGTCTACTTGTGCATGAAAAACACTCTGGTGTCATAAAAAAAGCATAAAATAACGTCTCATCACACGACACGTTTTTCTACTGATTTGTGTGTTTGAGTACTTTACATGCATGGGTGAATTTACTGACAACTTAGAACTCGACTTTCAGTAAATAATTTTTAAAGAATTTTTTTGAATTTTCATTACATAAAATACCTTGATCAAGGTATTTTAAATACCTTGATAGAGCTATATAGCAATCTTTAGCAAGCTATATACCTTTATCGGGGTATTGTGCTGGACCTGATAGATACATATATATACACATTGTAAGCTGACTTTGGAAGGGGTGGGGACAGTTAGACACTCAAATACACATGTTAGAAATACATTTTTATGGAAATCAATAAGTGCTAGGTTAAGCTATTTGCATGTGTGCTTAATGAATTTTTATTTTCTGTATTCAGATTACAAATAATGCCCTTGTGTGTTCCGCACACTTTGAAGATGCGGACATAAAGAAAACACTGGCAGGAAAGAGAAAACTAATCCTTGGTGCTGTCCCAACAAAATTTGCTTGGACAAAGACGCCTGCAAAGCGCTTGGGACCACAGCGCAGATCAGTGTAAGTTTTGTATAAATGAATTTATGTAAATTCCTGTTTGTATGGACAGGTATAGCTGCAGAACTAGTTCTAGAGGCATTTTTCAAATTAAATGATAGATCTATAATGAATTTTCTTATAGAATTACAACTCTGTAGTAAATATAAGGCAAGCTTAAAAAATTCATTGTTTGCAGTTGCCGACCCATAATTTCTAGAGTGGGTAAGTAAATGGGTTTTTTTGTTCTTGAAAAAAAGATTATATTTTTCAAGTCTTTGTTAGAACAGTATGACATTTAACTCTGGACACGACATAGTCCAGACTTTTTACTACCATTTCTAATTATGATATCAAAAATATTTTTATATCACTTGGTGGGATTTCTTAGCAGTACAGGGACCCCAGGGTCTCATGTTGAACTCACAAACACCTCCACTTCTAAAGATAGGAAGTCCTAAAACTCAGAATCCCATGGGAGAATGGTGGGATTTTCAGTCCCACCAACTATCCCACCATTCTCCCATGGGAGAAAAAATGTCTGATGGGATATTTTCTCCTGTGGGATTTTTTCTCCCACAAATTTGTTCAAATGGGATAAATCCCACGGATATTGACAATCAAACCATATCTCCCATTTATTGAGAAACATGGAATATATCCCATAAATTATGACAATGACAAATATCTCATCATGATATATAGAATATATTCCTACTATAACAACGCATTGGTGAAAATAATTCATTGTCAATATCCGTGGGATTTATCCCATTTGAACAAATTTGTGGGAGAAAAAATCCCACAGGAAAAAATATCCCATCTGACATTTTTTCTCCCATGGGAGAATGGTGGGATAGTTGGTGGGACTGAAAATCCCACCATACTCCCATGGGATTCTGAGTTTTAGGACTTCATATCTTTAGAAGTGGAGATGTTTGTGAGTTCAACATAAGACCCTGGCATACTGCTAAGAAATCCCACCAAGTGATATAAAAATATTTTGGATATCATAATTAGAAATGGTAGTAAAAAGTCTGGACTATGTCGTGTTCAGAGTTAAATGTCGTACTGTTTTAGATATATAAAATACATGGCTACTGTCTTCAAATATAAGCAATATTTGGACGAGGGTAAGAAAACTTGATAGAAGGCAATACTTGACGAGCACGTTTTCGACCCGAGCCCAAATATCGCTTATATTTCAAGACAATGACCATGTATTTTGTTTATCCTGCCAAATATATTTACATCTGACCTCCAAAATAAACTATTTTCAACCCAATTTAGACTTATCACTGGAGTGGAAACTAGGACACCTTTGGGTTAGGTGCATTTCCAGTAGATTAGTAAGCAACTGCAAACAAATTTCTATTTTAGGCCTAATGAGCTTTTCAAATCATATTGATTATTCATTAAGTATTATGTAATGCGGTATAATTATCTTGTATTTTAATTTAAAGTTCATGTAGATTAGTTAGGTTTTCACAAGCACCTAATTTTTTTTTTTTAATTTACAAGAATAAGTTGATAAAACTTTTTTTTTCACGTTATTATTCAGAAGGAAATTTCTCAGTTTGATTTTTACAGAATATATTTAGAAAGAAAATTGAAAATTAAATGATTTAATAAATTATCATGTCCAAATTTTCTCAACATGTAATTAGCACAGAAAATCTGTACACTGGTACTGTGTATGCATGTATACTTTCAAAATGCCTGATATATATATTCATAATCATGTTTAAATACAACTTGATGAATTGTGTGTTGTTTTTTATTTCAGAGTCAAGATTGAAAAGGGTGAGGGTGAAAATGTTATGGCATCAACATCTGCGAGTAATGAACATGATTGTGTACAAATTCCACTGGCAACATTTGACCATGACTATGTTGTGCAACAAGAATCCGATTCTTCAAAACTTGAATCAGCGCAAGCAGAACTGAAGCGACTTGAGCAGGAGAACATAGCTCTAAAAGAAGCAAAGTTTGGATTAGAACGATTTCACAATGACGACAACATGATTAATTTCTACACAGGATTCAAAGATTACCAAACATTGACAGCTGTATTTAGTGCTCTCAAACCAACAGCTATGACAATGATTCGATGGACTCAGATGCAGAGACAGGGAGCAGATTTAGAAAAAGTAAAAAAAATAACTTTTAGTTTCGAAAGTCATCATCTGTCCCTGATTGACGAGTTCTTTGTCTTCCTCTGTAGAATTAGACAAGGCTTCCCCGAACAAGATCTAGCGGTCAGATTTTGTGTGTCACAAACATCTATAAGCAGGATTTTGATCACATGGTCAAACTACCTGTATGCTATGCTCGGCAGTTTGCCTCTATGGCCTTCAAGAACTGTAGTAAATAGGAACATGCCAGAGAGTTTTAGACTTACATACCCATTTACCCGTGTGATACTTGACTGCACAGAGATAAAAGTACAGACCCCTAGCTCAAAGGTTCTGAACTCACAGATTTACTCAAACTACAAAAGCCACACCACATTCAAGGGACTTGTTGGTATTACACCGTGTGGAACTGTTTCGTTTGTTAGTTCTCTATACACTGGAGGGATTTCTGACAAAGATATCACGGCCAGATCGGGAATACTAGATCTGCTTGAAGAATATGACGACGTCATGGCAGACAAGGGATTTTTAATATCTGACCTACTGCAAGCCAAAAACGCCGGCCTAGTCATTCCTCCTTTCTTAGGAGCAAAAGGGAAGTTTTCCAGAATTGAGGTTACTACAACCCATGAAATCGCACGTCTGCGAATTCATGTCGAGCGGGCAATCAGAAGGATAAAGGAGTACCACATTTTTGACGGAGTAATTCCCTTGAATCTGGCACCATCAATCAACCAAATTTGGACCGTGTGTGTTATTTTGACAAATTTTCGGGGAGCATTATTTTAAAACATTGCTAGATATGTGTTAAAATGTAATGTGTTTAATATAATCATATCTTATGAGTTTACATGCATTAGCATTTTTGCAAATCAATAATTAAGAACCCTTATCTACACTGCACACTAAAGAGTTCTGATTCTAAGGTATTTTTCTGCAGTTAGAGTGTACTCTCTGCCCTTGGAAGTAAATTCTAAAAAATAGAAATTTACACAATATTACTCAATTTGTAATCAATTCAAGTATTCTTAACATTTTAAAAGGCCATGCTAAAACCCTCGGAAATGAAAACAAAAAAATGTCGGAAATGATAACAAAAAAAATGTCGGAAATGAAAAGTTGATAATTGCTCAAAATTCCGGAAATGAAATGCAGCCTAATTAACAGCAATATCTATTCACTGATACTGTGTTGTCTTTGAACATTTTTCCCGGGGGTAAATACCACGCACCATACATTGAAAATTAGATAGATAAGCACCATATTAACTCCTTTATGCAATTAATTTTTCTCAATGTCCAAAAATGTTTTTGCACTGTGTAGAGAGGGTCCTTAAATCAATTATTCAAAACCTGATGAATATTGAAAACCTGATCATGTACAGTTATGTATGTAAAATATTTTATATTTCAAACTGACTCATACAAAGACAAAAACATTTATATTAATTTTGTTTATTGTTCTGAAATGTATTATTAATAATTAAAGATTTAATAAAAGAATACATGTTAACTTGTGTCAGTGACATATTTACAAAAGTGATTCGTGAGGTTTCTGTATACCATGTATACAATGGGGAAAAAAATTTGTTAAAATTTATCTTCAAATCAAGGATTCTACAAATAAATTTTACATTTTAAAAAATGCAAACAATTTTAATGAAAAAAATAATAGTTTTGCATTGATCCTACATAGTGAAAAATGATTTAAAATTAACTGCTGAATTGTTATAACATAAAATAAAAATGAATATATTTTATATATATAATCTGTAAATGGATTCATATGTTCATGACTACGTTACAATTAATATTATGATAAGTGTGACACATTTAGTAAATAATATTAGTAAGTACTACAATTATACATATATAATTTTTCTACACTAACAGAAAATACATGTATTACATGGATGTATTCGTTCAGATTCATGTCGAATAACATTCCCAACACAATGTACATGCTGCTTTCACTGTTTAATCCTTGTGACATATTTGTGGAAGCATTTCCTCAAAATAGAATTTATCCAAAGAAGACTTCATTGAATCCCATTTGTCCTGATCAAAAGATATTCTCTCCATGTGAAAATCATTTCTACACTTAACAAAGAAGTCGCACCATTTCAGTCCAGTTAGTGCCATTTGACCAATGATCTGGAAATAGTAACCGTGACTGGTCCTCAGTTTAAATGAATGATTGTTCTTGTTTTGTACAAGATATTTACACTCTGTGAACGAGTCTTTGCTTGGACATTTTATTTCAAGGAGTCCATACTCTGGAGTTGCATTTGGATCAAACACTTTTCTATCTGGTGATGTGCCGAGATATGGAGCGCTAGGGTTTATCACAAACCCACACAGATACACACTATTGCCCGTTATCTCACTATAGGTTTTTGCAGCAACTGGCTCATTTTCTATGCCGAATTTCATCTGAGCTGTCATTATGTTTTTGGACTTGAGAAATCTGGAAGCAAGTGCTGCAAAGTCTGCTCTGCGTGAACATACATCCTTAAACACTGAAGATGTAATTCGGTTTTTTCTAACATCATGCCAGGTTTTGTTTTGACTCTGAAGTCTTGTTTGCTCCTCAACTTCTTTGCTGGTTGTTTCAGTGATGTGCATTCCTAGTAACATGTTCAGCTGGTTCTCAGGCAAAACTGTATTGTAGGACTGTTGTAAATTTGGATATGGAAAATTTGGATAAACTACATCTGGATGATTAAGTATGTCCGTGATTGTCGAGTTTAATTTCTGTTGGTATGACAATGGGCATCCAAAGGGTACTGGACCAAATGTTGATTCTACTGTAGATGTTGAAGTGGACGGCAGAATTTTGAGAATCTAGAGAAAAAAATCACTTAATATAAGTATGTGTATAACATAGTACAAAATACAATATTTTTCAAAATAAATGTACATGTATTGTACTGTAATTTTATAAACTTTTGCTAAAATTGTTACCTTTTTAAATAACACAATTCTTTTCTAATACACAAATGTAATTAAAATTTATGCAGTTAGTTTGGTACATGGTACAAGTGATTTATGGTTTTAAAACTTTAAAAAAATTGGTTTACCTGTGCATCACTTCCAACAGACTTCAAGTTCAGCATCAACTGCTGAGAAAAGTCAGATGAAATGGGTTTCTCAACAGGGCAGTAAATGTTGGGCAGAATGCCTTCAGTGACCCTCTTTTTCTTTTTGGGGGGCGTACCCTGTTGTGGTTTGATTTTAGAAATTTTCAAACTATCCACAGATTTCGGAGCAAGTCCTTCCACTCTACTTGGAATATGCCATGTCTGTGGCAGTGATGTCCTGCTCTGGACTGGTGGAACAGCTGTAAATGTGTAACAAATGTTATAGATGCATATTAAATACTGTTATTGTAAACTTTACAACGTGTGACTTTCATTGTACTGAAATATTATGAGCTTAAGATTTGTACAAACCTGCAAGTCCAAGCTTCTGGTAATGAGATACCAGGTAGAGAAGACCTAAAGAATGGCTGCAGTGTCCATTCCCTGCTTTGCACTCACATTCTGAACCAATGATTGTAGAGGCATCTGCTGATATTTTCACCTGGATATATATGAATTGATTTGTAATATTGGATTCTGTCATATGATATAAAATACTTCTTAATAAGTAATTTTCAATGAAAACAATATGCATTTCCTGTTTTTATATTAAGATTTTTTAATATTTAAAAAAATAAAATAAATGTAAAATGTCTGTAAAAGTTTACTAAATGACTGTATAGTCTGTAATTTTATACTAATTAGTACATCGACTCAATTTTTCCAATTGATAGAATCAGTCTTTAATTAAATGCTAGACTTGGTGAAATGTCAGGGATTGCTATGAATGGTAACAATGCACATAAATCAATCAGGGATGCATATACTAAGTATTTAAGTATTAGTATATACTTCCCTGCATCAACCAATCAATTAACGATCAATCAGTAATCAAATTTTGACATAGTTTTAATGTTGGTATATATACATGTATTTATATATATTTACATCAATTGATTTTATATAGCTATAATGAAACAGAATCATTTTAAAGCAAATCAATCATTACAGTTTATATGTCACTATTTATTCAGATCAAACATTATATTAATAGTGTTAATACATGTATATATGTGTTCATAAATAAATATTGTAATGCTAAATGAAATTCCAGAGAAAAAAAAACCACAAACGGACAAAGTAAACACAAGTTCAAACATCTATAAACACTTTGAACACCATCAAACCATTTGAGTATAAGGTGGGTTGTTTTTCCTCATGGATGGATATGCTTTTGACCTGATAAAAATCGTCTTCCCAACAGCCTGGACTTTATTTAAAAGTTGAAACATAAAATCTCCTCTAAATAGATTACTAGTTATGTATATATCTGTATATTGATTGATTGAGCGATCAATACATACTGATTATTACTGCATGATCATCGATTTTTCTAATGTATTCAGTCTGGAGTGGTTAGATCTAACAATCACAGTTTATGAGTATTATAAGTGTCAGGGGTTTGCAATTGAAAAAAAGAAGTATTAGTCCCTGAGTGGCAGCAATAAAGTCACTAATCCAAATTCCGGGGGGGGGGGGGGGGGGGGGGTTAATTACAATCAACATAAAAAAAAAAAAAAAGATTATCGTTGAAAAAAATAGTCAGGGTTAAAAGTCAGTCTTTTTAAAATCAAAGTTTAATTCTCACTTGTAAAATTGAATCATGTATTAGTTAACAATTATGATAGATAAATAAAAGGAATTTAAGTAATTTTTTCTGAATTCTGTGCACTGCACTAGTGCCACTACCTCATCTAAAACGAAGTGAAATCATTTTCTTTCATCTTAAAATTATTAAATACACTGGAAATACATTTTATGTAATAATATCACATATCACTCATCTTTAAGTTGATTGAGTGATCGTAAATACTTTAATCATGTTATTGAGATATCAGCCTTTATTTACCTTAAACATATGAATGGAGGAAATTCGGATTAGGAAAAACACTATCGTTTTGGGAAGTAAATAAGTCTTGAAGTGCTGCAAACTAGATAAGATTATGGAGATTTACAAATAATAGGAGCATGTTGTCTGGAAAATTTTCATTGGTTGGGAATTTAATAGCAAAAAATGAATGAAAATGTCGGCAGTGACTTTCTTACATTGGTATTTTACTAGTCAAGGGGCTACAAGCATGCAGAAACCCACTAGCCCGAGTGCCTGACCCCAACAAATAGTACCGATGCTAACTGCACACTCCTGAGTGTGTACAATCAAGAAATGGCTTGCAGAAAGATCAGACTAAATATATGCATGTAAGATAGAGATATATAATAGATCACAAACCTTCTACGTTGTGTATGTATCCTTCGATGAAATTAGAATAGCCCTTGATTTGTTTCGCTCTTGGTATGCGAGCTATGCTGTTGGCCCATTCATCAATTTTATTCTGCGAAACGCAAGGCACAAGACTTAGATTTTGGCTCCATTCATTTAGTTTCATTTTACGCACCTCCATGTTTGCGCTGTCAGCCTCGTTCACGTTTCAAAATGGCCGCGACGTGAATAACAAGTATTCACAGGATCTCTGTGATGAGCAATGCAAAGATGGTCATAGTGAAGACCAGAAGCTGCAGTTTTGTTAGCTGTAAATTTAGATAAAATATTTTCATCTACAAGATGTTTCAATGAAGAAGCATTTCTACTCAATAAAATAGCATATTTGTCATTCTCGATAACAAAATCTACACTAAAGCTGTGTTACAGCATCATGGCTCTAGAAATATCAAGGTGAAGCACAAGTCGCTGTAGAGCTTGGGAATCCGCTAAAGCGTCATGGGCGTCATAATGTGCTGTGCATAAATCTTTCATAAGATCCACTTGTTTGTAAGACTTTCTGTTGGGAACAGCTTCTCTAAATAGAGGTAGTGTGTCTACGAAACCAATAATGAAGTCACTGGCTCCTAGTCCCACTTGATGCATTGCACGGATTATAACAATCGACTCGAATTTTGCATTGTGAGCAACTAACACTATGTTGGAAAATTTTTTCAACCATGTAATAAATGTTTCTATACCATCCTTCGCATTCTTACATGGCACCTGTACTCCATTCTTGAACATAATATTCTCCTTCACAGCAATACCCGATACAGCAGTGGCAGAGGGTGGAATGGGTTGTGTAGATGGAAGGATATACTGTGAAAACGATTTCTCAGATGCATATGCACCAATCTGGGTGACTTCACAATATTTACCTATAAAATCATAAGGAAAAAGGAATTATAAATCAATATGTCACAAACAGACAACATACACTTTTTCATTACAAATTTATAATTCTGGAAGAAATGAAGCAGTGGCATTATTATTATGAAAACAATACTTCAGTTCCATGCATTACTTCTGTAGTCAATATATGAACACTCGCCAAGACCTGTAGTTTCCAAATCAAAATAAACAAATGTGCACTGGTCATGAACAATACGAGTAGACTGGGGTTTTCTCAGAGGTGGCGGTATCTCTGTAATGTTTTCCATGTCTCCTTCATTGTTGTTTAGATCAACACGTTTTTTATGTTGTTCCCTCCCTAATCTCTGATGACTCTTGTGACTTCTGGGAGTCTATTTTCTTCATTGCCCTGTTCTTCTTGTAAGCTGGTGTATCTTCTTTTTCCTTGTCTCGTTTCCTTTTCAAGTCTGTTTTCTTTGCACTGGAACTAGTGACTTGTCCAGGAGAAAGAAGCAACTTCTCATTTACCTGTAATGAAAGAGGGTATATTCAAAATGATGTCTTCTTTACATGGAAATACACGTGTTTATTGTATTGTCTTGTAGTAATGAAATATACAAATTACTATACTACATGTATATACCTGTATTACATATTGATGTCCTAAATTTTTCTGTGCCACAGCAGCAGCAATGCGAAAGTCATTACTCTCGGATCCAGAGTAGAAAGTGGACTTTGGTGTTTTACTTGCAACTGTATTGTTGAAACTCTCATTTGCCTGTGTACTTCCTAAGTTGATTAATTTTTCAGCCTGTAAAATGTAGAATCCACAGAGAGATAACAGATCAGATTTCAAGTGCTGGTTAGATAGGTAACGATGATATGGAAGTTGCTGTGGCTTGTAGGTTTCAGGTGAAGAGAGAAATCCACACCAGGTATGACAGGTATGACATAGGCTGTGGTCTCCATAGACATGTGGTTTTATGGCCTCTAGATATTTCTTTAGACTGCTCAAATCTTCTTGATTTTGACTGATGCAGTATTTGAAACACTTGCTGATATGATTTATGATTTATGGTTTTGGTATTTAGTTCTTTGTAGTTCTTGCTCTTCTTCAAGTCATATAATTTATTAGTAAATTGTTTCATTGTATGGTTTTTATCACTCTGTTTCTTTAGGGCTGGGTTTACCTCCAGGCGTGCTCTTGCAACAGTTGTTGAATCATTGTCCATGATAACAGTGCTGACATTCACATCATTTTGGCCATGTTCTTGCAACATCTGGTTCCATGGCTTTTGCACTTTTGGACCAGTTCTTTCGACAGTCATGGATGGGTACATCCTTTCCAGATTTTTCAGAGTTGTCGCATACTCTACAATAGCTGTTGCGAGTTGCAAAATTGACAATTTTCCCCGTTTCATTTCCGATCATTGCAGCATGACCTGCAAAATTTTATAAAAAATACATGCAATAAAAGAGTAATATCACAACTAAATTACTTTATGAAGATAAAATGTACTGTGTTACATTTTACTTATTGCCAGTTTGCCATACACTAATCAATCTATTGAAGTTGGACTATGAAACAGTGGAAGATGTATTCAATTTTTATTAAAAAAACATATCCCTTATTATTTTATTAACATCCACTAAAGAGATAAAAATGTACTACATGCCAGAAATGCCACAAAGTGTTACATATTATACAATTATGGACTTCAGTGAAGGTCGATATGTGGTTATAGGGACTCATGGCAATTGATATTGACCGAAGGCACAGAGAGTGATATCGAAAGAGCAGGCGAGGTTGCTATCATTTTCTGTGTCTGAGGTCAATATCAATTGCCATGAGTCCTTATAACCTGTCATAAATTTGACCATTCACTGAAGACCATAATAGTTATATTATATAATCACTCAAATTGAATGCACTCACACAGTCGTAACAATGGATTACGTACTACATAACTTTAGCGCAACCAAACGGCATGTTGTGTGATATTGTTTTATTTTACTGGAATGTTTAGAAAATAAATTATATACCTGACATACTGATCCTCTTTTCTGCCACCCGTCATCAAATGATACAGACAGCTCATTAGGTGTACTGTAAAACAACATAGTTCATTTTAGTGTATGTAACCTTGATTTTCCTATTTATATTATAAGCATTGCAAATATTATTAAAAAAAATGTTTGATAAAAATACCTGTCACAGTACACAGGTTAAAAAATGTTCAATATATTTCTGTTACTACAAAAGTAATTTGGTACCTTGATGATTCCTTCTCGGCTGCAGCCATATCGTCACAACTCTTTTTGGCCACTTCTTCTAATCCTTTCCTACTTCCCTTTCTGTTTTCTTCAAGGTTTTGTGGCACATAGATGGAATATTAAGTACACTTAATGGCATTGATACTTTCTTCTGGCCAATGCCTGCATGAAGCATACCTATAAAATATAAACAATTTTATATACTGTTCTTTTTACAACATAATAACATTTAAATTTTTGTAATTTATAATATATCTGGTGGTTCAACTAGTATACCATTCAAATATCATATAAAAATATGTCCTTAGAAAAAAACTGCACTACATTTTTGTTTGTAGTACATGTACATATAAAATTTAATTATCTATATACAAAGCCTACCAAGAGCCAGTTTTGTGTTGACATCAAATGCTCTTGATGGATGGTCATTGTCTACACGTGAGTGTCTCTTTCCTGTTGGAACTCATACCACCATATCACAATTCACACACTTTATTTTCTAACATTGATGCCAGTCCATATCTGATCTCACCACAAATATTTGTGAAGTTCAAAGGATGTCTGCAGAATTCACAACCTTCAAGCAACTTCTCAATGACGTACTGAATTTCAATAATCCTTCTCCCTTCGTTCCACTTTATCGTTACATCATCACCAGTGTCTTCACAACCTATCACGATTTCCTCTTCTTCAATGTGTGATGGCACTGACATACAATAATCATGCTCATAAGGTACATATTATGGCAAATCGATGGAGTGACAAGTCTCTGACAGAACAAGACCTGCATCATCATGACCTTTAATAAATGAAATGCACAGTTATACAATAATATGCAGGATATACATGAAGGTGTTTATACGTCCGTATGAACCATATATGAAAGAGAATCGAAAACAAGAAATCATAATCAAAATTTTACTCACTTGGCTGCAGAAGTATCTCTCCTTGGTTTTTCCGCTGTTTGTTTACTTCTAATGCCCGTATCCTTCTCAACTTTCCTTCGGATATAAATTTCCTAACTTTCCCGCGAACTTGTTCCTCCATGTTGTAAACAAAGTAATAAAATTACCTCCAATTACAAAAAGCGCATAAAGGGACATAATAATTTCTTAACATTCAAACCAATTCTGGAATTATTCCGGTTTTTCGTAGTGGAAATCTTCACATTGCGGAGATAGAAAAAAATCTTTGGAAACAATGGAAGATACGTCGCGTCTGACCTTAAATAATTCTGATAGCATCCCCGCATATTTTACACAAAATTTCATACTAGAATACATTGTCTTGATAATGCCAAGTAATTTTCCCTTAATTCCATACAGAATAAGTTTGTGCCATAATTGTGCGCTTTGTACAGTATCAAATGCTTTTGTATAATCAATAAAACAACAATAAAGTCTATTTTTCTTTCTTAATGATTCATTAAATAATTATTGTATGTATACAAAATATTGCTTCAGCTGTTCCCCGTTTAGGCTGAAATTCGAATTGTGCATCTGAAATAACACAGTTCTTATTTGACCATTTTAACAATCTTTGAATTAAAACAGTAGTAAAAAGTTTGCAAAAGCAATTTAGAAGACTAATACCTCTGTAATTATTTGTATCGGTTGCATCACCTTTTTTAAATGCAGGTACAAGAATGGACTTTGTCCACATATATGGAAAAAAACCAGAATGAAATATTCTGTTAAATAAGTTATAAATAATAGGCAGCAAAATAGTTTTAAATTCAATGAAATACACATTAATAATCAAGTCTGTTCCGTTAGGCTTTTCTCTCTTTAACTTAGTAAGTGCGTCAAGTCAACTAAGTAAGTGCGTCAAGTATTTCTTCATTAGATATGTCACAGTCAAGTTCTTCGAAATTGGTTGTATCGTCGTCACTCGGTATATCACTGACACTTGCATTAACGTTTGTTCCAAGCTTTCTAAATTGTTCATAAAATCGATAAGTATGTACATAGTTATAATGAGCAAGCGTGCCTCTTCCACAATTGTGAATTTTATGGCCCCAGGGTCAGGGGTTCTGGTGTTAGGGCGGGGCTCTATTGTTTATATAGTGAAAAATGCATTAATTCCTTGAAAATCTTCTCTATTCCTCGGTCTTAAATAAGTTAACTAAGTAGATAGTTATGATGAGCAAGAGTGCTTCTTCCACAATTGTATATTTTATGGCCCCAGGGTCATGGGTTCTGGTGTTAGGGCGGGGCTCTATTGATTATATAATGAAAATGCATTAGTTCTTTGAAAATCTCCTCTACAGCAGGCCCCGGGATCACGTTATATCTTAAGCTTAGGTCAGAATCTTCATATACTGTACTTAAATTTTATATAAGGCGAACAGATCAAAAATGTGATGCGTTTCATTTTGATTCATGCAAATGTTGTGTTAGCAAATTTATAGATCAATTCGATAATTAACAAACATTTTAGAGGCAATTGAAAATTTGAATTAAGTCTTAGGTCTGTTTCATGATCCTAGGGCCTGGGTATTAAATAAACTAAGTTCATAGTTATGATGAGCAAGATTGCCTCCTCAAAAATTGTGAATTTTATGGCCCCAGGGTCAGAGGTTTTGGTGTTAGGGCGGGGCTCTATCGATAATAAAGTGAAAATGCATTAATTTTTCAAAAATATTCTCCTCTGCTCCTGGGTATTTAATAAACTAAGTGCAAAGTTATGATGAGCAAGAGTGCCTCTTCCAAAATTGCGAATTTTATGGCCCCAGGGTCAGGGGTTCTGGTCCGGTGGTAGTACGGGGCTTTATTGAATATATTGTGAAAATGTATTAATTCTTTCAAAATCTTCTTCTCTGCTCCTGGGTATTAAATAAACTTTATGATGCCTCAACCAAATTTGTGAATTTCATGGCCCCTGTGTCAGAGGTTTTGCGAATGCCATTTGGTGTGGGGGGGGGGGGGGCTCTTTTGATTTTATAGTGAAAATAACATTAATTCTTTGGAAATCTTTTCCTTTGCTCCTGGGTATTATGCTTATGATCCAAGTATATATATTTATGATGAAGAAA